GTGTGTGCCAAGCACTACTGTGGGAGTTTGAATTGTATCTCTTAGCAAAATAAAGATCTCTGCCTTCAAGAAGCTTGCAGTTTAGAGGCGGAGGTTGTCTGCTACGTGTACACAGTGGATAAAGAGTTGCTCAAACACGGAGCAGAGCCGAGAGGAGCAGATGCAGCCCGGCTGGCTCTCCCGTCCTTCATGCAGACACTTAGGGGAGGTCTATAAAAACTGAATCTGTGGGTCACTGAACAGAAAGAGCTCATCAGACTCCATGGGGCTCTGCAAGTCCATCCTTCCTCCCATTTTTCCCCCCTCCCTTCTTCATTTCCTTCCTTCCTCCCTTCCTCCTGCTGGGTACATCATCTTTGTATCAGACGGTCATACTAGTTTGTCAAATAGACCAATAGGAACAAGTTTATTCAATCATCAGTGACTCATGTGGCCAAATTAAGAATCCAACCTTAAAACCTGCTTGGTAGAACCCTTCAGTTCCTTCAGTTGAGTTTCTGGAACATTCAGGGTGAGAGCAGAGAGGCTGAGTAGGGAATAGCATGGAGCAGGGGAAACAGGAGAAATAACAAGGTGAGGGGATTGCTCCCTGGGGAAAGCTACTGTTACATCGCATTTTATAGGCTGCTGTGTGCATGCTTAGTCTCTAAGTCATGTCTTTGAGACCCCATGGATGGTAGCCCACCAGGCTCCTCTGTTCATGGAATTTTCCAGGCAAAAATACTGGAGGGGGTTGCCATTTCCTACTCCAGGGGAGACTTCTGACCCAGGGATCAAACCTGCGTCTCGAGTCTCCACCTGCTACCTGTGTCGCCTGCTACCTGTGTGACATCTGGCAAATTACTTACCTTCTTTGTGCTTCAATTTCCAAAGGTATAAAGTTTCTATGTTGTCTTCAAGAGCTTCCCAGGTGGTGCTAGTGGTAAAGAATCCACCTGCCAATGCAGGAGGTATAAGAACTGCAGGTTTGATCCCTGGGTTGGGAAGATGTCATTTTCATTGCAATGTTGTTGTAAAGAGCAAACTTAATACTTTGTAAACAGAAAAAACTCTAAAAATGCCAAGTGATCATGTTTTAATGCAAGAGCTGCCTCTTGCCTCACTTTGAGAACTTGTTATTGAGAAGACAATCATATATTCTTTTATTTATGACTTGTCAGAGCATTTACTTATATTGGTCAGCTATTGCTGTGTGAAAGAAAAGAAAGTGAAAGTGAAAGTCACTCAGTCGTGTCTGAGTCTTTGTGACCCCATGGACTGTATAGTCCATGGAATTCTCCAGGCCAGAATACTGGAGTGGGTAGCCTTCTCCAGGGGATCTTCCCAACCCAGGGGTTGAACCCAGGTCTCATGCATTGCAGGTGGATTCTTTATCAGTTGAACCACAAGGGAAGCTCAAGAATACTGGAGTGGGTAGCCTTTCCCTTCTCTAGGGGATCTTCCCAACCCAGGAATCGAACCAGGGTCTCCTGCATTGCAGGCGGATTCTTTACCAACTGAGCTATGACAAGTACCAAGTCTCAGCATTGTGCAACCATAAGCATGTATTTTGTTCACACATCTTCAGGCCTTCTGGGAGGGACTGATACAGGCTGGGCTCAGTGGGAGGCTCTAAGCCAGTGGTTCCCAGAGCTCCATGTGTCTCCCTGCTCTCCTGCTCACCATTCTGGGAAACTCTTTTAACTAATCTTCAAAAACATGTTTGAAGGCGAACTTCAAATTCAGCCACACCAGTCCTTGATGGCATGAGACTGTTCCTGTTGGTCTGTTTTAGGACACAATCAGATGTGGCAATGATGTACCACTGGGAGGACGTCGGGGGAGGAAGGAGGGAAGAAGGGAGGGGGGAGGGAAGAGAGATCGGAAAGAACCAGCATCATCACCTTGGAACTGAGTTAAAATGCAAGGTAGCAGTTCCTACCCCAAACTTAATCAGAATCTCTAGGGCTGGGTCCCAGCAATCCGGGTCTTGATGAGATTTGCACATCATCTTCTCACGACAATGGCAGAGACACAAGTGGGAGAGCAGAAATAGCTGATACCTCTTAAGGCTTAGATGAAGCACTGCAATTGTCTGCCCACATTTTATTGCCAAACCAAGACACATCACTAGGGTTGTATGTCCAGGGAAGGGCAAAGAACGGGGGCTAAGAATTCAGCCTACCGAAGAACTTAACAAAAAAAGTTTTGGTATAGTACTTTATGATCTATAACATTCTTTCATTATCTCATTTAATTCTCATAATAACACTCTGAAGTAGGACGTGTCTTCATTTAACACACGGAGGAAAGGAGGCTTTTAGATGCTGAGGTCAAAGTCACACAGTTAACATTATCTGGGCCTCCCAACTCCAAATTTGGGATTATTTTAATTGCATTAAACTTCTAGGCCATAGATTCACAAAAGCAGGCTCCCAAACCTCTTTCATAGTAAAAAGCATCTTCAGTGCACAGTGTGAGAAATACCCTATGGTTGTTATACACTTAGGGAGAATGAACAACAGAAATACAAGAAAATATTTTCACCCATCATCAGCATTATACTGTGCAGCTAGCTCTATTTATCAGATGTCAAAGTTCCCAACTTTTTTGCTTCTGCTTCCCCATGGCTTGGGTTCTAAGCTTCCATGAGCCTTCTTTTCAGTATTCTATGTCCTCCAAATCTGTGCACGCATGTGTGCTCGGTTGTGTCTGACTCTTTGCGACCCCACGGACTATAGCCCGCCAGGTTCCTGTGTCCACAGGATTTTCCAGGCAAGAGTACTGGAGTGGGTTGCCATTTCCTCCTCCAGGGGATCTTCCCGACCCAGGGATCCAACCTACATCTCCTGTGTCTTCTGCATTGCAGGCGGATTCTTCACCACTACCCCACCAAGGAAGGCTCCTCAAAATTTGGTGTAACCAAATATCTACAGGAAGCCTACCGTGACAGATCTTCTGGTGACTATGATTTTGTTGTGGTAAGGTGTGTTGCACAAGGGCAGAGAAGAAAAAGAGTAAGCAAGTGGAGCTTTCTTGTTTAGCTAAAGATGGAATCTGAGAAGGGAAATAAGATTATAAAGGAAAAAAGGAGCACAAAGAAAACGTGGCATAGAGGACATGACGTTTCTTGGTGCTGTGCTATGGAGCTACTGCCCTGTCGGATATTTTATCAGCCAGTGGGATATTTTAGCAACTGCCTCTGATGACTTTACAATCTAACAAAAAAATTTTAATCACATAAAATCTTGTTGGAAACATTTCAACAACTTAAATCTAAGAGAAAATAATTTTTAAAAACTCTTATGAGGGTATTGGCTCAGAGAAAGAGATTCATTTGTTATTTCTATATTTATGTGTAAAGGAAGCACCCCTTTCTCTTTCTCCTTCTCTGCTTGGCCTCCAACTTATTCCTCATCCTCGACTACCTGACAATTTAAGAATTTAAGACCCCTAAGGTACAATAGGAGAAAAATATGAGCCTGACTCCAAGTGTGATCTATAGGGAGCTCTGGCTGCACACCTTAATTATTGCTAACAAAGTAACATTTTAATAGCTTTAGGTTGAAATTGATGAGCCCTCCTGTTCACTGAAACTCTTGCAAAAACATGACATGACACCTTGTAGGAAAAAAAAAGGACACAGTTGTTAAATAACTCACTATACATAGAATGGTCAGTTTAAAAAAAGTGTATTGTCCTTGTTCAGCAACTTTTTCCAAAGAACTCAAAGTCTATTAGAGCCCATATGTTCATCTAGTGCCTTTCCATCTTTCTATAAATAGTATGCAAATAGCATTCTCACCTTTTACAGAAGAATAAGCTGAAGAAAGGCATTGTGGAGGAACAGAACAAAGTCCTCTAGCAAAAGAAAGGTGAATAGCTAAACAGGAGCTGCAAAATTCCTTGAGGCCAGTGACTTCTCCATCAATTTCCACAATGGTGTTGTAAATAGAAGGTATGCCTGTCATACTAGATGGTTGAGGGGACTCCAAGGAACTAAGGAGAGAGGAATTGGCCTCCGTATTCCAAGACAGATCTGTTACAGCCTCAGTACTCCATGAGAATGAATACCTCGAGCACTTAGCAGATCTTCAACCCATCACGATGTTTGAAGGATACTCCTGCCCAATGACCCCAATTAATACACATAGTGACTATGATTTTCCAGGCCACACACCGCATTCCCCAACATCTGTAACTTCATCTAGCATCCATGCTGGTGTTTGATCTTGGTCATTAGTCCAGGGAAGTTATACCATATCTTCCTTAGACCTCAACTACAAGACCTTTTCAGGACAGCGACTCTGTTACTTCACAGCTCCTCCCGAGAGGCATCCAACATAGTCATTCTCCAGAACCACGGTGGGATTATGAGAACATTGATAACATTGATAACTGCAGAGTCTCTGCTTGGAGAAGACATGGTTCTACTTCCACCCTGCTGTTATAGCACCAGGATGCTGCAAGAACACGTCTCAAGGGTGTGTGACTTCAAAATCTGAGAGTGGAATAGGGGAAAATGAGATGCAGAGACCCTTTTTAGAGACCCATAACAATATCTAATTCTATCCTTCTCTTCTCTGGCTGTCCCCTGACTTCTCAAGGAAATTAGATATTTTCCATATGAGATAAAATGGGCTCAAAATGTCTTCTTTGATATCAATTCATATGACACACTTTTATTCCCTATATCCTTACGGGTCTTACTTTTCAAAGTCAGGTTTCTGGAACTCCAATCACCCTGTCTCTTTCCTTTTTTTCACCAAAATGATGAGTTTGAAAGCTATGTCTTAGTTTACTCAGATTGCTTTAACCAACATATATAGGCTGGGTGGCTTATAAACAGCAGAAATTCATCCCAATCTGGAGGCTGGGAATTCCAAGATGAGAATGCTGGCAGAGTCAGTGTCTGGTACGTAAGTGGCACCTTTCACTGTGACCTCACATGGCAGAAGGGACAAGGGAGCTCTCTGGGGTCTCTTTCATTGGATAGTTAACCCCAATCACGAGGGCTCTATTCTAAGTACCTCCCAAAACTCCCACCTTCGAGTATCATCACATCTGGGCATCTGGGATTTTAACATAGAAATTTTGAGGACATAAGCATTCAGTCCAAATTCTATTCATAAGGACAAAACCCACTTCGAATTTTTTTCCCTTTTTTCTTGCATTTTTACATCTAAGGTGGTGAGTAAAGAACACCTCATTGCTGGTGGAGACAAGAGAGAGGATGATGGTAGACAATGTATCAAGGAAGGTGGTAGGTTACTACTTGAAGTTCTTTTCCTACTCATTGAATTAACTACTCAATAAGAGAAAAATGTGGGAAAAGGATTTAAGTCAGCACAGAAGGAAAAGGAGAAAGTAAAGAGCTATGAAAACATGCTGAGTCTTTTAGTAGATATTTGTCATATAGCCATATAATCATAAACATAATTCAATAATAAATGGCTTCCTGGTGAACAATATTGAGCTAACGCTTATTTAGGGAGCCCCAATACACCTGAATCAATTCATAGCATATCAAATTACATGTCACAGTTGGTATGTATAAATAGCAGTGTGTAAATACTAAAGACATTATGTGGCGGCGTATGGGGGAGGTCCTGGAATTCACTGTAAGGAGTGAGGGTTGGGGGCAGAATAATGTCATTGTGGCGAGATTAAGGAGACATCGGTTACCCTGTTGAGATGAGGGGACTAAAGGATGTAGGAATGTCTGATCCCATTTGCAGAAGTAGATCTGAAACAGTTAAATGGTTGGCAGAGAAGAGTGATGAGGTCTCCATGACAAGCAACCTGGAAGATGTGTTAGGAACTTCAGGTGGTAGGGATGCTAGTTCTTAGCCAGTACTGGAGATGACCATTCTCAGATCACCAGTCAGTGTTATCTCAAGGAAGGGTTGCCTCCTAAGGCCAACTACAATTTCTTCAGATTCTGCAAAGAAACAATATATATATTTTTTAAATTGGAGGACAACTGCTTTACAAAATTGAGTTGTTTTCTGCCACACATCAATATGAATCAATCACAGGTATACATATGTCCCCTCCNCCTCCCATCTCCCACCCCACCCCACCCCACCCCTCTAGGTTGTCACGGAGCCCTGGCTTGATCTCCCTGGGTCACATAGCAAATTCCCACTGGCTATCTAGTTTACATATGGTAATCTACATGTTTCCATATTATTCCCTCAATTTCTTCTACCTCTCCTTCCTCTACTGTGCCCACAAGTCTGCCCTGCAACTGGGTTCTCTGAAGTTCACTGCAGCACTTTTTACAATAACCAGGACACGGAAGCAACCTAGGTGTTCACTGACAGATGAATGGGTACAGAAATGTGGTACATATATACAATGGAATATTACTCAGATATAAAAAAGAACACATTTGAGTCAGTCCTAAAGAGTTGGATGAACCTAGAGCCTATTACACAGCGAAGTAAGTCAGAAAGAGAAAGACAGGTATTGTATATTAATGCATGTGTATGGAATCTAAAAAAAAATTTAAAATAATTTCTGAGTAAATAAATTAAACTTTGAAGGAAGAAATTGGTTGGTATCAAGATTCAAACCACTCTAAAAAAAAACACAATGAATCACACAAGATGAGAGCTTCTAATAGGCAAATATGCAAATATGCAAAATAAATTAATATAGTTTTAAAGCAAGTCAATCTTACTTAAAATTAAAAACAATAGATTTTGTTGTACCTGAGTTCCCCAAAAAACCAGAGCCCGAGGCAAAAGCCAAGATTAGAAGGGCAATCCCAGAGAAGCCAAAGTGACGGGAAATGGGAAGAAAGAGGCAGGGAAGAAGACAATTTGAGGGTATGTTTTCAAGCAACCCTGCTCTTGGTGTTGCATGCAACTGAATACTGGACCTCTCAGGAGCATTCCTGAGGCAACATATGAACAGTTGCTTCTCAGGTTTCTTCATCCAGGTGGAATAATGGAGAAGAATCCCTTTTTAACCCCCTTTTCCCATTAGTCAAAAGTTCATCTTATTGGGGCGTTACCTCCCCTGTTCTTCTTATGCATCAGCAGGAACAGAGTTGTCTGTCGGCAGGCAAAAGGGAGCAGCATAGAGCAGTGTGGGCATGAGCTAGCCTGAGAAGTATGCTTTGACTTTCAGGGCATGAAGTCAGTGTGGCCCCTGCCTCTGCCACAGCCAAGGGTCCCAGAGATGGACAAGGCAGAGAGAATCTGATGGACACATAAAGGTAACTGTCTTATCTGTTTGGGCTGCTAATGAATGTACCATAGACTGTGTGGCTTAAACACCAAACGTGTATTACTCCAGTTTCAGACACTGGGGAGTTCATTATCAAGATGCCAGCAGATTTGGTGTCTGGTGAGAGCCTGTTTGCAGGTGTGTACATGGATGCCTTCTCACCATGACCACACATGACAGAAGTGGCAAGGGAGGTATCTGAGTGCACTAATCTCATTCATGAGGGCTCCACCCTCATGACCTAATTACCCCCAAAGGCTTCATCTCATAATACAAATCGGGAGTTAAATATTTCAACATATAAAGTTTGGGAAGACACAAACATTGAGCCCAGAATACTGTTACAATCTTTTAAATAAAGATTTACCTTCACATCTCCTCAAATAAGAAAAGAGGATGTCTAGTAGTGTGGGTACCTAACAAAAACAGGTAGCTTTATCCAAGAATTCTTAACAGTGATCAAGGACTATGTGGGTTAAATGTGTTTCACTGTCCGAATGAGTTGAGAAAAGCGATCTCCTTGACTTGTTCAGTATTAGCTTTCTTGAAATCAGAGAGAATATTGAGAAAGATGTCTTGAGAGTAGCCAATGATGTCCTGATAATTAACAGTAATAGCTAATATACTGAGAGGTTAGGCATTACATTACCTTCATAAATCAGGTTCAAACACCATAGCCTCTGGAAAACAATCACACTGCAAGAGTTGTGATAAAAGTTGATAAAAGGGAAAGACCACCTTGACCTAAATCTGGTAATAAAAGCAATTCCATACATCAACCACACGTTCCTAATGGGTGACGCAGCACCACCCCAGAGAATATCTTAGTGTCTAAAGAGCATCTTGGCTGAATTAGAAAACAGTTCTCTTCTCCAGGAAGGTAGAGGCCCCAGCCTGCCTTAGTCTCCTAAGCCTATGATTTTGCAAAGTGAACAAATGGCACAGGTGGAGTTGAGGTGAACAAGTTTCAAGAGGTTGAAAGAAAGCACAGAAAACTCTCACTGTGAGCCAGATAGAGCCCCAGTCCAGAGAACTTCCCAAAACAAATTTTGTTGCCTGCCTTTAATGTATTTTTTCATGCTCCACAGATGTCCTTTCTCATAAATTCTGAAGTATCTGCACGTCCCAAGGTGAGCTGGTATCTTCTTTTTATTACTGGCAGTTTGCAAGTGAGGATCTGACATTAAAAAAAAATATGGCACTCACTTTTGAGAGTGTGACCCACTTTTCCAACTCTTTGCTAATCTTCTTCCAAATTTCCTTCCCTCTTTTTACATTTGTGCTTCTGGTTAGCTCACAGGTGGGCTCTGGAGACCCTTCCGGATCTTTGGACGTCTTGCTCAATTGGAAAAGGATGCATTTTCTCTGCAGATTGTCTCATAGAGACACTGCATCTGTCTAAAACTAAAAGAGCCTCCAGAGAACTGACTTTAGCTGTTTGCCAACTAACCCATTTTGCATGCTTCCTGGGGAAAAACAATACGCCACATCTCTACAGGAGGAAGCAGGAGAGATGTTGGTTCTGTGTAAATATCTCAAAGGAAATTTATGATGCTGATGGGAAATTTAAACCCCTTTAAAATAACTGCTGCTTTGTGAACAGAGAGAGCAAAATTTTACCACCTCATTTCTGTGCCTTCCCTCACCCCCTTCCTGAGGGAGAGTGGCCTTAATCCAGTGGTCTCTCCATCTCTTCGTCCTCAGTGACTTTTGCTGTGGAAAATTCTGATAGACCATCAGTTCCACTAACTCAAGCAGATTTGTGTGCCTTTAGATGTACACAGGGCTTCCCTGGTGGCTCAGAGGTTAAAGCGTCTGCCTGCAATGTGGGAGACCTGGGTTCGATCCCTGGGTCGGGAAGATCCCCTGGAGAAGGAAATGGCAACTCACTCCAGTATTCTTGCCTGGAGAATCCCATGGATGGAGGAGCCTGGTAGGCTACAGTCCACAAGGTCACAAAGAGTCAGACCCAACTGAGTGACTTCACTCACTCACTCACTCAAATGTACACAAACACACTATGTGACTTACAGAGACTACCAGTTCTCTACCCACCTTCCATTTTCTCATTCTTCTTTCTAAAGAATCCCCTCTATCTTTGGAGCTAGTGATGGACCAGTTAAAAGACATTTTCAGTACTCTCTACCAGGTTTAAGAGTAGACTTGATTCTGACCAATGAGATGTCAATAGGAGTTGTTCAGAGGAATTTCTATGAGTACCAGAAATGAGAGAGAGCTTGAAAGCTCCTTTCTGCCCTTCTGTCTTTCCTCACTCTTTTGACCTCAAACCTGAACATGAAGACTGGAGCTTCAGCAGCCAGATTGCACCATGAGGCAATCATGTGGCAGGATTTTTGAGCCAAGTGTGGCAAAGAATAAAGATGAAGCATTCCAGTCTTTGATAGCTGAAGAACTGTCATATCAGCCCTGAATTGCCTGCCTCTAAACAGTTTATCCAAGAAATAAAGTTCTGTCTTATTTTAGTAAAGGTTATTTTGTTTGTCTATTCTGTGTATCAATACCTAACACAAACAGATACATGACCTCTGTGAGGAGGATGTGCCAGTGATGCTTTCTCCAAACAAATGGATTCAGGGGTCTGTTACTGTGGATGTGTTAATGTGCTGTAGGGAAAAATGACAGAAGCCAACTAGAGCTAGCTTATACAGGAAAGGGGAATTTATTATGAGGTCTAGATGTGTCTCACAGAACCCAGGACCACAGAGCCTCTGGGAGATGCTGGACCCAGGAACTAGAGAGCTACCTGGCACTTCTCTGTGCCTTCCTCCTGTTCTTTTCTGGGCATCTGCTTCTTTTCTCTGACTTTCTGCAGGCATCCTCCTCTGCTTCTGTGGACCACACAGTCAATAGAATGATAGTTATATTGTTGTTTATCCACACAATGAAATGTTAATAAGCAATAACAACAAATAATTTATAAGTGCATAAAAATATTGATGAATCTCACAAGTGTAATATTGAGAGCAAAAAGGCCAGACAAAATACATATATATATATATATATATAAAATGATGCCAGTTACATAAAGTACAACAGAAACATTCCTTCTCCTGTTGAAGCCAGGAGAATGGTTGCACTTGGGCTGAGGTAGTAACTGGAAAGAAACAAGAGAATATTTCTGAGGTTCTAGGAATGTCCTGTTTGTCCATCTGGGTGCTGATTAAATGATATATTTAATTTATAAAAATTCTTTTAGCTCTGTCTTATGTACACTTTCCTATTTACATGGCATACTTCATGGAAGATTGGAAACCTGATCAAATGAAATCTAAAAAACACATATGTTTAAAATGGTAACTACTGCTTCTCCACACGTAGATTCTATTTTTAATTCTTTACTAATACATCCTATATTAACTTGTAATTATTTAACCCATCACAAATCATTTTTCAAAGAACAGAAATAAACAAATAAATGCATAAGAATATATTTTATTAACTGCAAAAAATATTTGCAAATGACATTCTACTTACTAAGTCACAATTATTAAATTTAATTTTATTTACTAAAAAACAAGTATTGGGTCCTGTGTGGCCCATGTATATAAGGAGACATGTTAAGGAATATTGGGAAATTGACAAGTTCATTTCCAGTGGCTCCCCCAGTTCACCCCCTCCTCAAACTCTCCATCCTGAGGCCAGGGTCCCAGAGGCTTTTCCCCAGGCTTCCCTCTTACCCAGCTCCTCTGCCCGGTTAGCAAGCATTTGTCCTGTATCCATCCTCTCAAAGCTCTGCTCTTGGCTAGAACTAACCACACAAACAAATCTCACCCCGCGAGTTAAGAACTGATTATGACCAGATACTTTATTTGTCCCAGAATAAAATTTTGATTTTTTTTTGTCTTCAACTATAGACACGAAATGGCAACCAACTCCCATATCCTTGCCTGGGCAATCCCTTAGCCAGAGATGTCTGGTGGTCTGCAGTCCGTGAGGTCGCAAAGAGTGGCACGTGGACACCGCCGAGCAACTAACGCTTCCGCAGAAATGAAAAACAGAACAGCCGGGCTTTGGCGGGCCTCTAGGGGGCATGCTTTTGGAAAGGAAGCTATTTACGATGCTTTCTTCACACCTACACAACTCACCGGTCACACGCCTGCCCTGACCAGTTTGTGACTTTTCCAGAGTTTTCTTCACAATTAAGAAAAAAAAAACTGCTAGATTCTTTTTAATGACAACCATAACTTTTTAATCACACTGTACTTGTTTCTTCCTTCAGGGCCCCTTCTTGAAATGGACCTGATTTAATAAACTGGGTGATTCTATTTGGTTTAAGCCTTGAACTTACGCAGCTCAGAAATTGAGGGAAGGACTGGTTTTCATCAACTTCTCCACCACTGTCCAAATGGCAGCAAGATGTATTCTGACCAGTTCCCATTTAACGTTTCTGAGTAATCAACAAAGCAGACAGACCAAGGAGAGTTTATTAGCACTTTGTTCTTCTCAGAGGCAGAGGACTGAATAAATGCCTTTTTCCCTTTGGAAAAAATTTTACTAGTAACCATAGCAATAATAATTCCATCTCCAAGTAAAAATTATTATTGTTATCTTTGTTGGCAGTCCCGGTTTCTTTCCTGTCACAAGGAGACAGAAGGCAGACACTGTCTTGAAGTCTATAAAAGGCTCACCTAAGCAGGACCAGGCGCAGCTGTTTTCTCTCTCAGCTGTGAGCAGAACCCGAGAGTAATGGCTTAACCATAGCATGCGGGGCTTAAGCTAGACGTGAGGAAGTGCGTCCTGGGAGTTTACAGATTCCTCTTCTTTAGAAGCCTTTAAAAGTAGCTGAGATGATCAGTGCCTGGGATGGCAGCCTGTGTCCACAGCACATCTACTCTGTTCTGGTAGGTCTGGCTGTGCCTTTACGTAGACGATGAAAGCAGAGGCAACCAGCCTTCTTCACTACCATCTACTGGGACCAGACATAAAACACAGGCTTGTAAATGCAAATAAGTGGGGACAGTGTGGATAAAATGATTTGGCCATGATCAGTTATAGTCCACTGGTTTGGGGCTAAATGCTGGCCCCATGGTTGTTTTCCTACAGTCATGCCTACGAAATTTTCCCCAGGCTTCCCTCTTACCCAGCTCCTCTGCCCGGTTAGCAAGCATTTGTCCTGTATCCATCCTCTCAAAGCTCTGCTCTTGGCTAGAACTAACCACACAAACAAATCTCACCCCGCGAGTTAAGAACTGATTATGACCAGATACTTTATTTGTCCCAGAATAAAATTTTGATTTTTTTTTGTCTTCAACTATAGACACGAAATGGCAACCAACTCCCATATCCTTGCCTGGGCAATCCCTTAGACAGAGATGTCTGGTGGTCTGCAGTCTGTGAGGTCGCAAAGAGTGGCACGTGGACACCGCCGAGCAACTAACGCTTCCGCAGAAATGAAAAACAGAACAGCCGGGCTTTGGCGGGCCTCTAGGGGGCATGCTTTTGGAAAGGAAGCTATTTACGATGCTTTCTTCACACCTACACAACTCACCGGTCACACGCCTGCCCTGACCAGTTTGTGACTTTTCCAGAGTTTTCTTCACAATTAAGAAAAAAAAAACTGCTAGATTCTTTTTAATGACAACCATAACTTTTTAATCACACTGTACTTGTTTCTTCCTTCAGGGCCCCTTCTTGAAATGGACCTGATTTAATAAACTGGGTGATTCTATTTGGTTTAAGCCTTGAACTTACGCAGCTCAGAAATTGAGGGAAGGACTGGTTTTCATCAACTTCTCCACCACTGTCCAAATGGCAGCAAGATGTATTCTGACCAGTTCCCATTTAACGTTTCTGAGTAATCAACAAAGCAGACAGACCAAGGAGAGTTTATTAGCACTTTGTTCTTCTCAGAGGCAGAGGACTGAATAAATGCCTTTTTCCCTTTGGAAAAAATTTTACTAGTAACCATAGCAATAATAATTCCATCTCCAAGTAAAAATTATTATTGTTATCTTTGTTGGCAGTCCCGGTTTCTTTCCTGTCACAAGGAGACAGAAGGCAGACACTGTCTTGAAGTCTATAAAAGGCTCACCTAAGCAGGACCAGGCGCAGCTGTTTTCTCTCTCAGCTGTGAGCAGAACCCGAGAGTAATGGCTTAACCATAGCATGCGGGGCTTAAGCTAGACGTGAGGAAGTGCGTCCTGGGAGTTTACAGATTCCTCTTCTTTAGAAGCCTTTAAAAGTAGCTGAGATGATCAGTGCCTGGGATGGCAGCCT